CAAGAAACCAGCTAGTAATGCCTGGTTTGTATTTCTTGGAGGAGGGACACCAGAAACACTTATTTCATTCCACACAATAATTCACCACAATCAGAGGGAGCACAGCGAGGGCAACACCATCTCCCAGCTGCTGATTACATCAAGGGCTTGCAGCACAAATTCAATTTTATGATGTTAATCTCAGCCTGCCACTCAGAAATTTTCTCTGAGGGATATGATTTTTCTCTGGATTTCATTTTAAGAATGATTTTCTTCATCCACAATCAATAAAGATATGTTTTCATCAAAAGACTCTATCTTGGTAGAATTCAATTGGCTATTTCAATCCCTTTTGGTGACACAATATTAATTAAAATAGTTTATGTTGGACTTCAACTGGAAAGAGGGGCAGTGAAAATAGCAGCTACTCAGAACATATGTTCTATACACATGAACATGGAGGGCAGAAAATAATTTTCTCCTTCAGTACACAGACATTAGCTATTCAAGAGAGTTTCTCTGGCTTGGATTATATCTGTGATCTAACTTAAACAACAACAATAAGACAAAACAAAGAAAAACGACAACAAAAAATCACTCTTTCTGTATTTATTGTTCAATAGGAAATCAAAATGCACATAAAAAGATGCTTCAAATGCTCACCTACCAGTGCCTCAGAGGAGGAGAAACAAGTACCCTTGTGCTCATGTGACCTGATGGGGCATTAAAAATCACAGTCACTATTTCTCTTAACTAAAAGTATATATAATGCTACTGAAATGTATTTTTATTTTCAGTTTCTAAATAATGATTGCAGTTGAATACACTATTTTTCAAAGCAAGCATCTAGAATTAGCACAGAGTTTTTCACATTTACAAGAGAGAAGTAGCCCGTCTGGTATGGCTCAGAGGCTGAGTGCTGACCCATGAGACAGGAGGTCCCAGGTTTCATTCTCAGGCAGGGAATGTGCCCAGGCTCAATCCCCAGTAGGAGGAGGCAGCCAATCCATGATGTTTCTCATTGATGTTTCTAGCTGTCTATCCCTCTCCCTTCCTCTATCTCTAAAAATCAATAAAAGCATTTTTTTAAAGAGAGCATTATAAAATGTGTTACAAAAAATAAGTCAATTTTGTTTCAACAGTGGTTCCAAACATAGTGGTTAATTTGCTTAACAAGTATTTACAAAGCACCGACTATGTGCCTAATTTTGGTCACCCCTTGAGACTGAGAGGAAGGCTCCAGTCCCCATCAACTCACAGTGAGAAGGACTGAGGCCTGATTCCTACAAGGTATATGGAGCACTCATGGGAGGCTGTACTTAAACCTGGCTAGGGAGAGGATCAAAGAGGGCTTCTCAGGGAGGACTTTAATTACTGTAATAGTCAGCTGGTAATTTACATTCACATTTAAAGATGCTTAAGGTAAGCTTAGTCTCTAACCAGGTCTCTACAGATGGAAGCTTTTCATTTTCATAGGCTTGAAATCACCCATCCATTATATCAGTGGTTCTCAACCTTCTGGCCCTTTAAATACAGTTCCTCATGTTGTGACCCAACCATAAAATCATTTTCGTTGCTACTTCATAACTGTAATGTTGCTACTGTTATGAATCGTGATGTAAATATCTGATATGCAGGATGGTCTTAGGCGACCCCTGTGAAAGGGTCGTTCGACTGCCAAAGGGGTCGCGACCCACAGGCTGAGAACCGCTGGATTAAACAAACAAGTCAGTGTGTAAATGATCATCTTGAGTGTGGCTCTAAGGTCTGCACAAAAAGCAAAAGACAAATGTAAAAAAAAAATCCTTGGTTATAGCAGTGCATTCTAATTTCTACTAAAGCAGCCAAAAACCTTGCTGGGCCCTCACAACCCACTACTGACTCAGGGGAAACATAGTCAATTAACCATGAGGTTGATTAATTACAACTTCCTCATCCTGTACTTGCTTACTTTTTAAAAACTCATACATAGAACTCGACATTTTTCAGGTTAATTGTCATCTTGTTAAAGTAAAAGAGGGGAGAGGTCAGTGTAGAAAACAAGTAATTCTTACTGTGAAGAGAAAACCACAGGCCCAAAATGGTGTCACTCTTGCTGAAAAGCCCAAATACCAAGCCTAGATTTAATACCTAATCTAATTGAAGTTTCAACACTCCCAGACACATAATATTAATCAGTCTGGAATTTTCTGGTCAACACCAATGAGGTAATCTGTTATATGCACCCTCTCCCTCCCCCCGCCCCCACCACCACCACCACAGTGTGGACAGAGCCAATTTGCATGATAAAAACCTTCCCCAAGAAACCTTGTCCTTGCCCAAGAGTATTCCCTTTTTTATTTTGTTAATAACTCCCTCTACCCTTCTTCCTGTAAAGACCTTCCATTTTGAGAATCTTTAAGTGCACTCCTAGTTGCTAGATGGGATGCTGACCCATCCATGAATCTCCTAATACAATGATGGCGAACCTTTTGAGCTCGGCGTGTCAGCATTTTGAAAAACCCTAACTTAACTCTGCTGCTGTGTCACATATAGAATTTTTTTGATATTTGCAACCATAGTAAAACAAAGACTTATATTTTTGATATTTATTTTATATATTTAAATGCCATTTAAACAAAGAAAAATCAACCAAAAAAATGAGTTCGCGTATCAGCTCTGACACGGGTGTCATAGGTTCGCCATCACTGTGGCCTAATAAAACCAATCAGATCTTCAAATATACTCATTTGAATTTTGTTTTGGACTGTTTATTAAGTTATAGACATTGTGCTACTTACATTATGTACATTGCTTCACTCGACTTTCAGGACCCTAGTAATTATTATTATCTTTATTTTAAACTTTAAAATGAGATTGGAGAATATATGTAGCTTGCCCGAGATCAGAGCTGGAAAATGGAGAGATCCATTCATCCTAGAACTCATGCTCTTAACCATGGCACCACACTGCTTACTTAGGCGGGGTAGGGGCAGTGCCCAGCAAGTTAGGACACACTCGGGAAACTCTGGAAGAGGCTTCTCTAGAGCAGTGATACCTACCTCTAGAAATAGGATTTGACTTTTATAGAAGAGTTCAAAGAGATCTGAATGTCCTTTTAGTAAGAACAATGAGAACCTCATTTTGAAGAAGAAAAAAGGGCATATATAAGTTTGCCAGAATTAACTTGGGAACTTGCCAAGACTTCAAAGCTGATATGGAACTAGAACTCAGTGCACAGGTTCTCTTCGTCCTGCTCCTCACCTCCTCTCTCTGCCTCTAATTCAGTCTAGAGCAGAACTAAATCTAAAAATATTGCCAACTCACTCGGAAAAAAAATAACTATTTACTCAATACAGGGCTATGGAGAGATGTCCTTTATAATACACTGACAGAATTATTAATAAGAGATGCCTCATGTTATAACATTATTAAATACCAGCAAGAATAGGTGAATTTTCAAGCCACAAAGACATCCATCTGAATGTAGAAATCTTGAAACTTTAAAATATTCCTAATATCATTATTGTCAAGGTTCCATAAAGTTCTTTTATAATTTAAATGCACTTCTATTATAGTTGACCCCATGTTAACCAGAACCTCATATTTCTAAGGCATTCACTCCATTGGGTAGATTTCACACACACAGAGAGGCTTAACAGTGAATGTTTTTGTTTTGTTTTTCTAATATATTTTTTATTGATCTCAGAGAGGAAGGGAGAGGGAGAGAAAGATAGAAACATCAATGATGAGAGAGAATCATTGATTGGCTGCCTCCTGAACACCCCCACTGGGGATCCAGCAGGCAACGCAGGCATGTGCCCTGACCATAACAGAACCCTGACCTCCTGGTTCATAAGTTGACGCTCAACCACTGAGCCACACCAGCTGGGCAACAATGGATGTTTTGTTAATATTTTGTTAATATTATAATTAATTTTAAAACATCTTTCCTCCAAAGAGGCAAAACTATTGGAATTCAATGGAGTTCCAACTTTTGCAGCTTAAAAAAATAATCACTTTACCTGACCACTTCATGTCCAGTTTCCTTTTCTCCTCCATCCCTGGGCTTTCTTTACAGGAAACACTATTGGTACATTTTAATAATGAAGGAGCTAAATAAAGGAAGGCTAAGGAACAAGTCACAAGACCAAATTAACCACAAGCATTTGCATGGCAATAGTGGTTGCATTCCTCTCCCCAGGCGGAGAGGAGCTGCACTGTGTACCAGGGGACTGGGGAAGGGGGGAGGAGGAGGAACACTTTCTGAACCCTTTCTTCAGGTAAAAGCATTCCCAACAGGTGACCTAGTCTCCAGGAGGTGACCTTGAACTCATTTAGTATAAAACTGGAAGAGGAAGACAAAGTTAAGGTCGCTGTACTGCAACGTTCTCTTTACACCTTAGTTAAATGTTTAGATAAGTACCACAAAATGCTCTAATGAATGAGGGAGGAATAAGGAAGCGCCCATCGCAAAGGCAGTATTCCTAGTATTTCACCTTTTCCAGATTTTCGTCAGTGCAGACATCACACACACACACACACACACACACTGTATTTCCCTGCTCCTTGTCCACCTTTTCAGGTGACAGAAGTCCTGTGTCTGCACTGGTTATTGCTGGCTCAGCCGCAGGTGCGCTGGGGGAGGTTTTCGCCAGGCCCGCTCCCCGACAGCCCGCAGTCTGTCACCCCTGCTCTGGCTGGGGCCCACCGGGCTACGGACATAAATCAATTTGGAATTAATGTAATGGACGCAGGTTCCCCGGCAGCCGGACTTCCCAGTCTCAAGGAACCGTCCTAAGAAACAGGCGGGTCTCTGAAAGTCTCCGCAAGCAGCTCCTCCCAGGACTACAGGTAGGAATACTGAGCCCCTTGCCAACCCCCCCCCCCCACACACACACACACACACACGAAAGAACCATCTGGCCGATGCGCGGCTCGGGTCACTACTGCTGCGACACCTGCACAAGCTTGAACAGGACATTGCCCACGTGCAGAAACTCGGAGCAGAAGAGGCTGAACCACCTGCTGCGCGCGCTCACCTTCCTTCCCCGCCCCGAGGGCTCTGGGTGCGGGAGCCGAGTGGCGGCACCGCTTGGGCAGCCGGAGACGCCCCGCCCGGGATCCGCAGCCCCAGCCGAGCCGGGGGCGGCCGCCTCACCCGAGGCTCCGTGCGGCGGAGCAGCCGGCCCGGCAGCCTGGCGGTCGAAGGGCTGGACCACCGGACAGCGGGACCGCCCCTCTGGACTGCGAGGCCACGGCCCGACCACGCCCCTTCCCCCACGGGCCCTCCCCTCCCCCTCCCCAGCTCTGCCCCACCCCCACCTCCAATACCCCCCTCCTCCGCCCCTGGGGCCTGGCCTGGGCTCCCCGTGCCCCGCCCTGTGGTCCCGCCGCTCCCTCCCTCTCCCCGGGACCTTGGCGGCTGGAACCGGCCCACCCACAGCTGGGAGGTGCCCTGTCCTTCCAGGGCTGGAGAGAATTGGCATTAATTGGCAATTCAAGGTAGGCCAGGTGGGGTGGCAGGGACTCGCCCAGGCATTAGCAGGGACTGGGATCCCCAAGACTTTCCAAAAGGCAGGAGAGGAACGCCCCACAAAGCTGCATCCTCCCGCAGGGGAGAGTGAGATCCCAGGGATCTAGAGTGGGTGGGAAATTCAACAGGGAAACCGGCGTCCTAACCTAGGAGTGGCCCAAGGACCGGGACTGACTGGGTGCTTTAGAAAAATGGGAGGGCAGCTTGTTTTTCTGCAGGTTTCTCAGTTCTTTTACTTGACCCTTCAAACCCTCTGGGCAATTTAGTCTTGGATTCTGGAAGCAGGTGGGGAGAGATTTTAACCACTCCCTGTTCACTAATACCGGGCTTTCCCAATACTAAGGATATTTGGTCAGGTACAAGTTTTAGGTCGGCTCTGAGGTCAAAGTTCGCATATCCTGTGCTGGGGTCCAACGCCGGGGTCCAACCCCAGCAGGTCCAGGGGTCCCCAAAGGTGTGGATGGAGTCGGCGAAGAAGGAGTGACACGGAGACAGAGTTCAGTTGATCAGCAGCCTAGCCAGGATCTCCAGCCAGGATCTCCAGCCAAGTTCTGGTCTGGATCTCCAGAGAGGTTCTGCTTAGGATCTCCAGCCAGGTCCTGTGTCCATGGTCTCTTGCTAGGTTCTCCAGCCAAGTTCAGTTACCAGGTTCTAGTCAGGTTCTCTTGCCAATTTCTGTAGTCAGGTTCAGTCCAGGATCTTTTGCCATGTTCTCTCGCTAGGCTCTGTCTCTAGGTTCTGAGGCCAGTTTCTGTCCAGTATCTTTTGCCATGTTCTCTCCAGCGAAGTTCTTCTGTCTCTAGAGAACGTTCTGTGTAGGTTCCGTGCCTAGGTTCCGTCTCTCTTGGTTCTGTGTTCTAAGTTCTGTCTCTTTCTGTCTCATTACATCTGTATTTATACCAGTTGATTCAATCCTATCAATCTCTATTACAAAGGTTAGGGCGTTTCTTATCTCCATTCCAGGGAGTAAAGATTATGTAGCTTAAGCATCATTGTTCATAGTTAAAGTGATTAATTACCCGCCTGGCACTTAGTTAAGAGGTTTTATTCCCTCCCTAACTTCAGGGGAAAATCCCTACCTGGGGAAACAACCTCTCTAGGAGAGGCATCCCCTCCCTGACTTCAGGGAAAAATTCCTACCTGGGGAAACAACTCCTCTTGGAGACCTTGGTCAAAACACATAGTGCCAAGAAGGTGAGCAAACACATTAAGAACAGTATGCCATACATGCCAGGTCCCTCGAAACAGCAAGCATGGACCGGCTCCCGGCAATCCTGGATCTTCCCGTGTAGAATCCCTCAGACTAGGGCACTCCTGGCACCTTCCCAAAGGTCCTGTCCTTGGTTCATCTGGAATTTCACTTTTCCCTGGGTTAGGTGTTCCTGTGGTTCACCCTCAAGATTTCCTCACCTCCTCTGCCCATAGGCAACACCAGTCACAACTAATTGAAATTGCTTGTTGCTTGGCTTCCTTGCCCGTGAGCTCAGTCACATAGTAAAGGTGTTTTAGGCAGCAGGAATGGCACCAGGTGTCTGACAGGTGGGGTCGTGGGTTCAGCAACCTGGGTACTTGGGTCCTGGCTAAGAAAGAATTCAGAGCCAAGACCCAACCGTAAGAGGACATTTCTTTGAGAAATCACAGATGTAGAAGAAGTAATTCCTAGAAGAAATGGGCTGAGAATAGGAGCTATGGAGGCAAAGGAGAGGCCTTAGGAGCATGGGAGTGAGGAAGGCAATGGGAATGCACCTGGAATGGGGTGGGGGGAAGGGAAAGGCACCTGGCCGGTGTGCTCTGGGAGGGAGAGCTCCGGGGTTTATTTTATTTATTTATTTTTTAATCTTTATTGTTGAAAGTATTACATTAAGCTCTTCCCACACGCTCCCATCCCCCACCTCTCCCCCCAGGCCCTCATCACTCCATTGTCTGGGTCTAGAGGTTATACATAAATGCATACAAGTTCATTGGTTGATCTCTTCCCATCCATCCTCCCTTGCCTTCCTTCTGAGGTTCAACAGTCTGTTCATGACGTCCTAAGGCAGTGGTTCTCAACCTTCCTAATGCCGCGACCCTTTATTACAGTTCCTCATGTTGTGGTGACCCTCAACCATAAAATTATTTTCGTTGCTACTTCATAACTGTAATTTTGCTACTGTTATGAATCGTCATGTAAATATCTGATATGCAGGATGTATTTTCATTGTTACAAATTGAACATAATTAAAGCATAGTGATTAATCACAAAAACAATATGTAATTATATATGTGTTTTCCGATGGTCTTAGGCGACCCCTGAGAAAGGGTCATTTGACCCCCAACGGGGTCGCGACCCACAGGTTGAGAACCGCTGTCCTAAGGGTTTTAAAGGTGGAGATTTTAGGGGCAGCCCCAGGAAAAGATCTCAATAGAATACAGTGGGGCCTTGATTTACGAGTTTAATTCGTTCTGAGACCGAGCTCGTTAAGGAGTTCGTTAACTCAAATTACTCTATCAACTCAATGCAAAAAATCTGCTGAGAGACAGCTGGTATCTCAAAAAACTCGTTAGTCGGGACACTCCTAAATCAAGGCCCCACTGTATTCAGCAGTTTTCCTGGTGTGTCCTTTCAGGGTTGTGGTCTCCACTAATTGATTGGCTGGCGGGCACCAGGGCAGGGGATCATTATTCAGTGCAGCTGGTCCTGAGGTCAGCTGTGACTGGTTTTGTTGCTCTTCTGGGCCTGGAGCTGAAATACAACCTTGACCAGATGTTATCTCTAGGGAGGAAAGGCCTGGGATCCAAACCTCAAGATTGGCCTTATGCTAGGGAGGGAAAAGTCACCCTGGGGGCTAGGTCCCAACCTATAATTGTCCTTTGCTTGGCACCTGGGGCTTTCCATCCTGCAGAATCTAGCCCATCGTCCTTGCTCTGCTCATGCCTATTCCACTGCCTCCCACAAATGCATAATAAATGTTGTTGAATGATGACATGCATGTGACAGACTATTAAAGCACCCCTGGCACAGTTCTTTAAGGAAATTCCCTTGCCTATCTTTACCTTATAAGTCTGCAGGACCTTATCTCACAGTTGATATTTCCATGCCTTCCTCCTACCTCTGAGCAGAGTCATCTTCATTTTCATAGAGGTGCTGGTGTAGTAAGAACCTGGGTCTTGGTTCCTCTTGTCTGAACTCTGCAATAACTAGCTCTGTGATCTTAGAGGCCTTCAATCTCTCTGATTCTTAGGTCAAAGTCCTAGATACTTTTAGGGCCTACCAAATTGTAAAAAAGATTAAAAAAAAAAACCTATTAGGGTGAAGAAAGTTATATAATATTGATTATTTGGCCTGTATAGGAGTGTGGTTCTTAACAGTGTTCAACTTTACTCAAACCCTGTAATCCTGGAAAACAATAAGTTCAAGAAATCTTCCCACCCTTTTGTGTTCAGAAGATGGTTTACTGCAAAGAATCATTCTTCCTGAAATGACTTTCATAATACTTACTGACAAAACTTACTTTGTTTATCTGTGATAAGCTACTCACAGACTCTTCAAATCCCCCCTTTTTTTACTCCCTCACTAGAGGCCCGGTGCACGAAATTTGTGCATGGACAGGGTCCCTAAGCCTGGCTGGTGATCAGGGCCAATCGGGGTCTTCTGACTGCCTGCCGAGGCCTTCCTTCATTCTGCGCTGCCCCCTGGTGGTCGGCACATGTCATATTGAGTGATCGAGCTCCTGGTCTCCCAGTCAAACTCCCAAGGGGACACTTTGCATATTAGCCTTATATATATTTATAGATTCCTATCTGTAAAATGGAGAAGTTGGATTAGATAGACCAAGATCTTTTTTGGCTCCCAAAATAATGAATTCCAAAGCAAAATTTCAAAAAGGAGAAGAAGAAGAAGAAGAAGAAGAAGAAGAAGAAGAAGAAGAAGAAGAAGCAGCAGCAGCAAGTCAGACCTTTTAGACCTCAACAGAAGAGCAAGGTTGCAGCTAAGAGCCAAACTGGGCACTTGCAGGTATTTTATTTGACTAGCCTGGCATTATTGTTGCCATTATTTTTTAAAATTCGATTTGAATATTAAAGGTCTCACCTCTCTTTATAGTCTTCACCATTTATATTATCTGTTTGGCCACTGAAGACATTTAGTTTGTGTTTCTAGAATACTTTTGTGCTCTCAGAAAATTACAAAAATGCGTCCTCCCTCTCCTCCCTCCATATCAACAGAGATAGCTAGGCAGTGATACAATGATGTCTATTAATCTCTACATGGTAGGGGTAGGATTGGGCGTTTGAACAAATGGACACATTTCATTTATAATTGAAATGTGTTTCTTTGGTAATAAGATGCTATCCAGGACAACCCTCTCTCATTTTTAAGCTCTGAAAGATTTTTACCAAATAAAATAAACATCCCTGGAGGTGTGTTGTAATTTAACTTTAAATTGGAATAGATTCTCTGGCATATTATAATACCAAAAATGAATAGAAATAATGCATAAAGAAATTAATTTGCTCATTTCTGGGGAAAAAATAACTTGTGATGTTTTGATACATGTCCAAAAGTTCTATGATATTCTTCCCTTTGGTGGAGCCTAATTTTTCTCCCTCTGAGTGTGGGCTATACCTAGTAACTAACTTTTAACAAATATGGTGAGTTAGGAATGATGAAGAGTCACATCTACATCCTAAAGTGACATTGTAACTTCCATTTTTATTCTCA